CCCCATAATTTTGAGGTGAAAATGGGAGGAGGACGATTTAATGTTAATAAAATTCCCAATTCATTTCAGTTCATGTCTCAGAATGTGTATTTTTTGTTTGTAATTTCACCGTTGTAATACCATAACGTGAAAGCGCCGCTTTTCTATCGCGAATGTGCCGAATCTGCTGATATAACTACAACCGCCAGGTTATAGAGAAGGGGAGGGGTATTAGTGTGCCTCCTCTATTTTAAAACCCACGAGCCGCCACTGAACGTTTGTACAAAAGAAATAACTCACTCTTAATTGTGCCGTTGTTGCTGTGATCACCTGTCAGCTCGTGGCCACGGCCCAATGTCAGCCATGCTAATATTCGGAATGCAGCTTTCTTGCTAGTATAATATTGCTTAAATGCATCATAAATGAATCATCTTTTCTGCTTTGGCTCCAGCAGGAAAGGAGACCGTTTACTGGATTAGCCCTACTTTTAACAGATTGACAGCTTGGTTGCACTACAGATGGTGTAGGAACGACTACGCAACTGTTCCATTCATAGTAAAAGATAAAGCTACCAGGTCACAGCATATTCCTCCCTATTGGCCCCAGCACAGGCCAAACAATCCTCTAGGCGAAACCACAAAGCGAGCATCCAGGTCACTCTGTGCTGGAATTCATTGAGTTCAGGGGTAAATGAGGTTCTATCAGCTGGCTGGCCTTTGTTTGCCTTGAACGTGTCTCAGAAACGAATCAGAGAGAGAGAGAGAGTCAAGCAAATAATGTAATAAATGTGGGAGAGAGAAGAGGAGCAGACATCTGCTTTCATAAACCAAATTCAAACACTTAATCGTCTCTCGTATCTCATTTTACATGGCGCTCAACCCAACCCACAAATCCCTCTGAAAACCAAATTCAAAACAAATGTGTGTTGCCATAGCAATATGATAACCACTGGCAGTTCTGTGAAATTCTACCTAAAAATTCCAAATTCAAAACAAATGTGTGTTGCCATAGCAATATGATAACCATTGGCAGTTCTGTGAAATTCTACCTAAAAATCCCAAACACTCATCACGTCATCAGAACATAAGCATTTCCCTTTGGTATTGTGGAAATTGTGGAGACCAACAATCAGGTTCCGGAAGTGAAAATCACGTTCATTTTCTCCATAGGGGAATTGATTTTGAAATATAACTTATAAACCTTTAAATGCACACCTACTGAGAGCTATGAGGAATCAATGGTATAAGCTTTTGTTGAAGCCATCAGCCCATATTATTACAACTTGTTTTTAAATTAAAAAAAAAATTCAACATTGGAATTCCTGGTGAAAATATGCATTACCTATGGTTCAGAGAAATCTCAACCTGTCGCACCAAAAGAACATCTTAGCACCACTTGCTATGAAGCACTGCGAATGACATAGAGTGAGTTTTTAGTATTGTTATTTAAAGACATTAAGTAGTCATTAAAAAGCCTGTGTAAACACCTTTTGTGGCACTCAAAGATGCGAGCTTGCAATCGATTGTGGAGGGACGGGGTTTAAGCAGACTAAATGATTGAAGAAGTCCGGCAAAGTTCACCAGAGATGAGTCTGTCGTTTTCACCAAAAAATCGAGATATAAGATTTTGATTAAAAGTAAATGAATTTACAAAATAGATGATACATTTTCTTTTTGTGTTGACATTCATTTACTCACTGCAATGAAATATAGCATTTCTTTTTTTGTTCCAAGTATTTATTTCCTGAAGTACAAACAGAGTCATTATTAAAACGGCTACAGAACTGGAATCGTGAGGAGGAACCGTAACCAGAACTGTTTAAATTTTTACAATTCCCAGCCTTGGTCTACATCACTATACTGCCACTTTTCAGCCACTGGTCGTACTGTGAAAGAAAGTGCAAGCAAAAGTCTTGGTCCTCAAAAGACTTCTACTTATCCAGGAGAGCCCTCGTGAAAATACATTATCTCCTGGAATCAAATAGCGCACTCCTTCCTTTTGTTCTTTTTGCTTTGTCTTAAGTAGTGAATAGGATTAGGCCTCTAAGCTGTGCGGAAGCTCTCAACCTGGTTGGAGCTGCTTTGATCATGATGTTTCTTAGTCATTAAAACTACTTGCCAACTTTGGAGGCTTAAAGCATTAGGCCTTTGAAGGAAGGCTTGCATAGTCTTTCTTCATCATGACAGAGAGCATCTTCTGGAAAAAATGCATAAGCGTTCTCTATCACAACACTGCCATCTTTCCTACCAAGCTGACTGAAATATTCCAAATAAAAACCACCATATCCTTTCTATATGATGCATAGGCTACTCTAATCATGAACTGGTTCTTAATAAAAGGCATATTCACAGGACTCTGGCACACCCACCACTACTAAATGTAATCCAGCCACCAGATGGCAGTCTTGGGTTAAAATCGTGCCTAACCAAATATTGGTAATTAAAAGTAGATTTTGGGTAATTATAAGTAGATCATATTCTCTAAAAGTCCTTTCAGGAATTTCTCAATGCTCTCTCAGAAAGTTATTGTATCCTTTGGAATAGTTTCCCTTGTGTGAGAGTATGTAGAAGAGGCTGACATTGATTTCTCCAAGCTATATGCAGCTGGTCCAGCACCAGCCACGTTCAGCTCTACCAAAGCCTCGTTTCAGACCACATTGAACTTATTCAAGCAAAGCCAGCAGACCAGGAGAGCAGTAGCATGTTATGATTGCGGATGGCAGTGTGCTTCTGGGCTCCAAGAATCATACAGGCTTGTCTTTCGGGCTTGAAAGAGTGTAGGTTCATTTCTCCCCGCACCCATTTCAGGCTCACCTTAACACCCAGGCACAATATGCCATACTGTTACACATGGAGCACATGCAAAAGTCTCAGGAACTGCAAGAAAAACTTCTCCAGGGTTGCTACACTTTTTGACCAGTTAATTTCCCCAACTCTTCAACTTGTCCACTTGCAGTGTTAAGAAGGATACTTTGGAAAGGTAATAGGTTACAGATTACAAGTTACCCAATTTGAAAAAAAATAAGTAGTGTAACTTTCAATTAATTTATTAATGTAACTGATTACATTTGATTGCTTTTCTAAATTTCAAAAGAATGTTTTCAACTGTTATACATTTTCAAGCTTCTAAACCAACTCGGTTTACTTTCAGACTTTCAAAATCCTTCATCACTTGAATTCAGATTATAAAAATTAAATTTTAAAGCACAGCCACCACAAAATCAGACTTTAGTACCCTTTTTTTTTTTGTTTACTTTGAGATCATTCTGAGGTTAAATACAGATTTAAAATCTTAAGATATGATTTTAATAGCTATGATACTGTTTTGTACTGTCCTTGGAAAAAAGAGTCAATCTTAAAAAATAAAGCATATACATAAACCCAAACAGAAAATAAAAGTTATCAAATATGTGTCCTAAACTCCTGAAACATTGGTGTCTCATATTAGAGCAGTCAATGCAATTTGGGAAAGAAATCATTTAAATCTGTGTGTTTGTGTGTAAATATTAAGATGTACCCCCCCTTTGTAATCATTAACATTTTCATACGTAACTGTAATTTACACATTTTTTTATCAGCAACTGTAACAGATTATTTATTTTGTAATTAAATTACGTAACTGTTACATGTAACTAGTTACTCCCCAACACTGTCCACTTGTCATGTGATACCCCAAAAA